TCTGTGTATCCCATTAGATCCCTTAGCATATTATTAATCATAGCTATTTTACATTCCCAGTCTGATAATACCCACATCACTGCTGTATCTGATTCTGATGCTTGCTCTGTCTCTTCAAACTGTGTTTTCAATATGCCATGTAATATTTCATTGAAAACAGGACATTATGTACTATGTAAAAGGAGCTGAGGTAAGTATGCCTTTAGTGTAAGATTTTGTTTATCTGGCTAGAAGTTAGACTGTGAGTTACTCTGGGCAATAGCTATAGGTATCAGAGGCTAAAATTTCCTTTGGTGTCTTTGTTTTTGTCTCTCCTTTGTTTTGAGTTTCCCTAGTTAGTTCTTTAATAAGTTCTATGACATGCAGTTTTTCATTTGTATTCCCCTGTCGATGTAGTGGTAAGGTATTAGGGGGTGAGGAAGTGCTAATTATAGATCTATGATTAGGTTTCAGTCTTTTAGTGCACCTGTACCCTTGGGCTATCACCTTCACAAGTGTTTCTCAGTTCCCTCCCCAGCTCCCTCCTTAGGTGAGAGGTCTAGAGTTGGGCATTCCTCTTCCCCTAGGTCAGTTCGGCTCTGGTAAAATAGTTTTTCTTGAGAGCAGGCCTTTTTAAGAACAGATTATCTCGTGCATATTCCAAAATGGCTACTTTATCCCTTACCTTGCCAGAAATACAAGAAGGTTTTCTCTGATTTCGCTGTGAGAATCTGGTAGAGTTCATTGAGGTAAAACTCAAAAAAAATGTCATGGCTCCCCTGGAGACTTTAACTCTTAAACTAATCCACACTGAAACTCTAACAATCTATCAATTATAGTTTAGATTTTCCTACCCCAGTATTAGTTCCCACAAAGGTTTCTGTTCTTGTGCTTCTGCCCCCATGAGTGGTGATTCTGTTTCTGCCTGTCTTACCAATTATAGGGGAAGCAATTTGCTCTATGACCTCAATTCTATGAAGGATTTAAGAAGAATTGTTGATTTTCATTTTGATTTAACTTTGTTCTTAATGTGGATGGGAGTGATGACTTCCAAGGTTCTTACATGGCTGGACTAGAAAATGTCCTGTGAGTTTTGATAGGTTGTATTTTCATTAACCAGTTCAGAATATTTTCTTAATAGCTCTTGTGATTCATTCCTTTGACATACAGGTTTTTTAATAAGCTTGTTTAATTTCCAAATGTTTGAGGATTTTTCAGATGTTTTAATTCCACTGTGATTCGAAAAACATAAATCCCATTTAGTCCTTTTAAATTTTTGAAATTTGTTTTATGGCCTAGCATGGTCTATCTTGGTACTGAATAACATATTAAAAAGAATATATTTTGCAATTGCTGAATGTATTTTTCATAGATGTCAATTAAGTTAAGATAGTGTTATTCAGATCTTCATTTTTACTAAAATTTTTCTAGTTCTGTCAGTTGTTAAGAGAGGAGTGCTAATATTCCAACTCTTTGAATTTGCTTCCTCCTTTATTTAATTTTGTCTATTTTGCTTCATGTACTTTGAAGCTCTGTTATTAGGCATATACACATTTATGATTTTTGTCTTCCTCATGAATTGACCCTTTGTCATTATGGAATATTCTGCATTATCTCTGATAATACTCTATACATTGAAATCTACTGTATTTGAAATTAATGTAGTCCCTCCAGCCTTATTATGCTTTACTGTTTGCTTTATACTTACCTTTATATTTAAAATTCATCTCTTGTGGGTCTTGCTTTTTTTATTCTGACATTCTCTACCTTTAAATTAGATTGTTTTAGTCAATTTACATTTAATGTAATTCTTGACAAGGTTATGTTTAAGAATGTTTTCTGTTTGTAGCCTCTTTTTCCTCTCTTTCTTGCCTTCTTTTGGGTTCCTTTAATATTTTTTACAATTCAGTTTTAATCTATTGAATTCAAAGCTATACTTCTTTGCATTATTATTCTTTTAGTAGTTGCCATAGATATTATACCGTATTTATTAAAATTAATATTGTACCACATTATGTTAAATATAAGAACCTATGTGTCCATATAAGTTCCTTTCTGTCCAGTCATGTATGCTATAGATGTCATATGTATTTTTTATAGTCACATACATTATTAACCCCACAGTATAGTATTAAAATTTTTGCTTTAAATACATGTATTTTATAGAAATTAAGAGAAAAATAGTCTTTTATATTTCCTCATTTATTTACCATTTCCAGTATTATTTATTTTCTGAAAATCTAAGTTTCCATCTGTATCATTTTCTTTCAACCTGAGGAAAATAAATTTTTCATAGTGTCAGTCTACTGATAAGTTCTCTTAGTTTTCATTTATCTGGAAATATGTCTATTTTGTCTTTGTTCTTCAAGAGTAATTTTTTGGAGGTATGGAATTCTGGATTGACTGGTGTTTTGTTTTTTTCTTCCTTCTTACGGAGCGTTTTAAAGATGTCACGTCACTGCAGTCTGTTGTCCCATCATTTTTTATTTGAAGTCAGCATTCAAATATATGTGTTCCTCTTTATGTAATGATGTTTTCTTTGGCTATTTTAAAGATTTTTCTCTTTTCTCTTTGATCTTCAGTAATTTGACTATGATCCTAGTTCTGGATATCTGCTTGGGACTCTCAGAGCTTCTTGAATATGTAAATTGATATCTTTCACCAAACTTGTCTTTTTTGGCCATTATTTCATGAAATATTTTTTATCTCATTTTCTGCTCTTCTGGAACTCTAACTAAATGTATCTTAGACCTTTTAGCATTGTCCCATGGATTCCCAAGGCTTTGTTCATTTTTTGCTCTTTTTCAGATTAGATATTTTCTTTTAGTCTGTCTTTAAGTTCATTGACTCTTTTTGTCTTTACTGCTATACTATATATCCATCCAGCAAATTTTTTACTTCAGGTATTTTTCGGTTCTGGAATGCCCTTTTCTTAAAAAAAGTTTCTTTTTTCTCTTTTTAGATTTTTCTATGTTTATTCTTTCTGAGCAGATTTCCTTTGTGTCCATTAGTATCACTGTAATAACTACTTTAAAAATTTTTGCTAAATACACGTGTGTTTCATCTTGCAGTTGGTCTCCATTGATTGCCTTTTGAGTATTGAATTTTGCTTTCCTATTTCTTTAGAGATCTCCTAAATTTGGATTGTATTCTGGATATTATAAATGATAGAGCCTCTGGATTGTTTTATATTCCTCTAGAGAGTATTGGCTTTTACTATTTTGTTTTAGCACAGTTATTTGATTAGTTCATACTGCAAATTATGCCTTCCTTGTAGAAGGCAGCAGCTAAAATAAATAAGTTTAGCTGTAGGGCTTAGAGACTGTCCTGTTCATCCTAGTTTTGGTAATCAGCCTGAGATTTGAGTTTGTTTGTTTATCTACAAATTTGGAGTTTCCTCCTTTGCTTTCTTCTTTTAAGCATTTTCCCATTATTTGTAGCTGCTGTGATCTGAACTCTGTTCTCTGATTCTTCAAGCATCCAAGCCTGTGGATTTCTATCTGTGTTTTAGCCACACTTTCTTCCTTTGGAAGCCACTGGGGCCTGCCCTAAGGCTCAAAGCCATAAATAAAAACTCTCTTCTTCCAAATGTTGATGCCTCCCCCAGTTTTTACTTACTTTCGGCCACTCTACAGTGCCTGCAGGTATTTTTAATAATATTTTGCCCAGGTTTTATAGTTACTATCAGCGGGAGAGTTAATCTAGTAGGAACTACTCAGCTGGTACTATAAGTGGAAATTCTCCATGTTAGCCATGAAAGTTGGAATTACAATAGCCTTAAAACAATAGAATGATAACTAATATTTGTATAGTACTTTTTGTTATAAAAGCACTTTAGATTATCAAATTTATGATGATTTTTACTGATATAGTAGGCAAAATACTAAATGCCTAGGTGCTGATACACTTTAGGCCAAGAACCTGGGCGGAAAGTGAATCTGAAGTCAAATGCAACATAATAATGTGTATAATAAAATGTGATAACTAAAGCAAGAAGTTGGAGAAGGAATATAGTAAATGGAAACTTTAGGTATGAGATAGAATAACAGAATTTTATGCCTTTGGCCAGATGAGACTATCACCAGGTAAATGGACACTAAGAATAAGTATGTAAAATATTTTCTTGCTACATGGTTCTTTTAATTTCAGCTTAAGCTTCCTTGGATAACCTTTTCTCTCTACCTAACTCTAAAATAGGTCACAGTTTACATAACACTGTCTCCCCACCTCCTGTTCTTTTTCATAGGACCCATCGTTTCATTGTGTTACTTTTACACTTTTAAAACTTAAAATAATCTTCATAACTTTTATTACTGTTTGTAATTTCTTAAAATGGAGCTACACTGTAAGCTTCGTAAGGCAAGGGACCATGTTTTGTATGCCCACATGTGTTAGATGCTCAGTTCATATTTATTGAGGAATGAATGAATTTATATATATATATATACATGCACACATACATACATGAGTACTAAAGATTGCAAAGTAAGTTTTAAATATCTATTATATATAGTCAGTCTTACACTCTTCAGTAGAGTTAAGGTTTTTTTCACCTAGATTTTGAAGGAAGGTGTGAGTTTGAAGAGTTACTGAGGGATTATTCCAAATAAGAAGGAGGAAAAGAGTGGCAAGAAGATTTGGGGAAATTAGTAAAATAATATTGGCAAGATTTGATAACTACTTTGTAGATAAGCAATAAAAATTTTTTTTATAAGAACAGAAAGGTACTAGATCATGGCAAAAAATTTTTTAAAGAGTTAAAGCTAGGCAGATAGTAAGGAATCCTAGAAAATACAGAGAACAAAGAATATGAAAGTGGTTCGAAGATAATTTGAGCAGTGATCTTGAATAATAAGACAACTGAGGCATAATGATGTGTGATAAAAAAAGTCAGTGCTTTTCTTTCCCTCTTCCTTCTGTGCTTCAGGTTTCTCAGGTCCTGAAATGATAGGGAGTTAAAAGCAAGTATTTTAGGCTAATTTAATCAGATTTCTTTGTAGTGAAACTTTCTTATTCCACAGCTCTTGGATAAGCACAAGAATACAGAGAGCATGGTGGAGCTTCTGGACTTGTATCAGATGGAGGATGAAGCCTACAGCAGCCTTGCAGAAGCCACGACTGAACTCTATCAGTATTTACTACAGCCATTCCGAGACATGAGAGAACTTGCCATGCTAAGAAGACAGCAGATCAAGGTATTTTCTTAAAACCTAAATAACATCCTGCCTGCTTTGTAATTCTCAACCTGGCTGGCTAGAGGAGCTTTTTAAAAATGCAAATATCTGGTTCTCTCTCTCCAAAGATTCTAGTTTGGTAGATTTAGGTTAGTTACAGCCTGTACACATCATTTTAAAGCATCTCAAAAGATGATTTGGCAGAGTAGCTAGGGTTGAGAACAGCTTAAAAAGTACAGGTGTAAATACACTGAAAGAGCCCCATCTCCCCCCCTTTCCTGTACTTCTCTCCCTCTACTCCTGTCTTCCTTTTAATATTTTGAGTACCATGTAATTCTATACTTCAAGAGTTTTGGGAAATTTGTCTTGGGAAGATCTTGTCTTGAAAGTTACAAGGATTTAATGGTAGAGCTTTAAAATTCATGACATTTAATTTTTATATATAAAGTGTGTATTAACATTTGTTGAGGCAAGTGTTTAGGAGTTTGGTTGTATAGCTGATCTCAAATGTCACTGTTTAACTTACATGGAAATATTGCTGAACTGAAACATAAAAATTATGTTTCTGCATAATGGGTTAAGTTGGAATGGTATATAAGATATATGTATTTAAGAAATTAACAATAGACACAGAAAGCCGGGCCAGTCAGGCAGCGACTGGGCATGCGCTGCAGCCAGTGAGACGCAGTGGCAAGTCGGAAGCGTTCGCACTGGGGAGGCGGCGGCGGCAGCGGCGGCTGCGGC